AACGGGTTCCCTTGTTTTCCCCAGCGTGGCTCGGCAAAGGCCTCGTACAAATTCATTTCTCCGAACAGCAGAAGAACTTTAATGAGATATTGTAAGGCAGTAATTATTTTGTGGCCCTCATGGACGCAGCTCTCGGCAGATCATAACGACGAATATCAGACGGGTTTATGCCGCAATATCTTGTTTATTACCCAAACAGTGCGACTCATAAAGAATATTCTTTGTTACATAACAGTGGGGGTTCCAGTGTATAATATAAGCTAGACCCATCAAGACGTCCATCATTAAGATGAATCCTCTCCTCCATTTTTTTTATATTTTATACATTTTATACATTTTATACATTTTATATTTATATACATTTTATTTTATATACATTTTTTATTTATATTTATTTATTTATTTTTATATACAGTTTATATTTTATATACATTTTTTATTTATATTTATTTATATATATATATATATATATATATATATATTTTTTTATATTTTTATTAGACCAGGGGTAGGCAACCTTAACTGCTTGCCCGCCACCCTTCAGCAGAAACACTGCTACAGAGTGGCACGGCTGCGCAAAATCACGTATATATACGTGATTTTGCATTTCCGGGTAGGGGGCCCTGTTCAGCTGTTGATCACCGGGTCCCAGCTGGTGATTCCCCGCCGGCACCCAGCGAGTTCTCTCCCCTGTCAGCTCCAGCACACTGCTTTGTATGGCTCTGCATAGCAGAGCCATACAAAGCAGAATGCTTACACAGTAAAATACAGAGACAGTCTGAAGTCTGGGAAGGCAGCAAACAAGTGTAATCCAGAGACAGTCTGAGGTTCAAGCAGGCAGCAGACAAGTGTGATCCATAGACAGTCTGAGGTCTGGGAAGGCAATAAACAAGTGTAATCCAGAGACAGTCTGAGGTCTGGGAAGGCAGTAAACAAGTGAAATCCAGAGACAGTCTGAGGTCTGAGAAGGCACTAAACAAGTGTAATCTAGAGACAGTCTGAGATCAGGGCAAGCAGCAGACAAGTGTAATCCAGAGAAAATCTGAGGTCCAGGCAGGCAGCAGACATGTGTAATCCAGAGACAGTCTGAGATCAGGGCAGGCATTAGACAAATGTAATCTAGAGACAGTCTGATTTCAGGGCAAGCAGCAAAGTGTAATCTAGAGACAGTCTGAGGTCCAGGCAGGGAGCAGACAAGTGTAATCCAGAGACAGTCTGAGGTCCAGGTAGGCAGCAGACACGTGTAATCCAGAGACAGTCTGAGATCAGGGCAAGCAGCAGACAAGTGTAATCCAGAGAACGTCTGAGGACCAGGCAGGCAACAGACATGTGTAATCCAGAGACAGTCTGAGATCAGGGCAAGCAGCAGACAAGTGTAATCTAGAGACAGTCTGAGATCAGGGCAAGCAGCAGACAAGTGTAATCCAGAGAACGTCTGAGGACCAGGCAGGCAACAGACATGTGTAATCCAGAGACAGTCTGAGATCAGGGCAAGTAACAGACAAGTATAATCTAGAGACAGTCTGAGATCAGGGCAGGCAGCAGACAAGTGTAATTCAGAGACAGTCTGAGGTCCAGGCAGGCAGCAGACAAGTGTAATCTAGAGACAGTCTGAGGTCCACGCAGGCAGCAGACAAGTGTAATCTAGAAAGAACATAGAAATTATTCATTATAAATAATTAAACTTTAAGGGTGCCAGGCAAAACACATAAATTGCTCAAAGGATACTTTATTACAATATGTATAATTCATTAACACCTTATGACCTGAAATGATTTGTTGGGTACATGGATGCTTACAGTACATCACTCATATTGTAAGCAGGGGCGGACTGACCATTTGGGAACTCGGGCACTGCCCGAGGGCCCGGGGTCAGTAGGGGGCCCCATGAGATGCCCCTGGTACCTTTCATAGGCTTTTTAGGTGTTGTTTGAGTGTGGGCAAGGACACAGGGGCCTCATGATCCCCTATTGCCCGGGGGGCCCCATGAGTTGTCAGTCCGCCCCTGCTATGGGGTTAATTTACTAAAGGCAAATAGACGGTGCACTCTGCAAGTGCAGTTGCTCCAGAGCTTAATAAATGAGTAGAAGCTCTGCTGACTTCCATCATCCAATCAGGTGCAAGCAAAAATGCTTTTTTTTTTATCTTCCTTGCATGTGATTGGGTATTCTTGGCAATGTGAAGCTTCACCTCATTTACTAAGCTCTGGAGCAACTGCACTTCCAAAGTGCACAGTCTATCTGCTTTTAGTAAATCAACCCCATGGAATCTCCCACTGACAATCCCATTCTGAAGATTCAAATTGTTCTTTCATTTCACCTACCTGGGTCACTTACCTGGAACACGTTTGTATATCTGTAATATTTAAGAAATGTCAGACATAGGGGATGATTTAGCAAATGCAAATAGACTGTGCACTCTGCAAGTGCAGTTGCTCCAGAGCTTAGTAAATGAGCAGAAGCTCTGCTGACTTCCATCATCCAATCAGGTGCATTGTAAGTATATAGCATGTACAGTGCACAACATAATCAACCGACCAGGGGCGGACTGACAACTCATGGGGCCCCCGGGCAATAGGGGATCATGGGGCCCCTGTGTCCTTGCCCAAACTCAAAAAAGCCTACGAAAAAGGTACCAGGGGCATCTCATGGGGCCCCCTACTGACCCCGGGCCCTCGGCAGTGCCCGAGTTTCCAAATGGTCAGTCCGCCCCTGCAACCGACCTAAACCACTGAACGTAGTTGATAAGCAACATATAAGTAGTTTCTTCGATGTGTTTCATGAGTAGCTTGTCGGCTACCTACCCTAACCTTGAACCCTGTCTTGATTACGGTTGTTTGCTGCCTGCCCTGACCTGAAAAGCAAAAATAAAAATTATATATATAAAGTTTGGGGGTTCTAAGTCATTTTCTAGCCACAAAATGATGCTTTTTACTTGTACAGTACGGCACGGCTCGGCCAGCAAGTGGTTAAGAAGGTTATCAAGAAGGTAATTGAGATAGATAAATAATCCAAGTCCTCTCTTGGCGGATCTCTGACTTCTGTCCTACTGAGCTCTTCCGGAGAGAAATGTTCAGATGCTGTTTATTTACATTTTATTCTAAAGCTTTTAACCTCAACTCTATAATTACCGAAGCCTACATCGACTTTATTCCACGCCATCAGATTTAATTTAATTTCCTATGAGAACAGCAAAAGGGCTGGCACCAGCGATACGCGATGTAGCGAAGCAATCTCCTCTAGCCGAGGCGCACTGAAAAAAAAGATTGAATGGCACAATCAGTCTTCTATCCTTTCACAAATGACAGCCATTGTCAATAAAACTTAATCAATGGCGACGCCGGCGTGGGCGACGTGACGGACGGAAGAGTAGAAAATAGGGTCCCGTTCAAAGGAGCTAAATTATATAAACAGGTCGGTTTTCAATTTCCACAATGTTATAAATTGTATCTTTTTTTTTTCTTTTTTTTTTTTTTCAAATCCAGAAAAATATATTTCAGGCGGGGGCGCGCTCGTGAAATATTAGCAATCCAAACATCATTCTAGTTAGTCTTGGTTCAGCCTGGAACTTTAATAGAAATGGACTGTCTTCTTTGATTGAGTGTGATATCGGTGACGGAGCCTTGAGTTTAAACACGGGCCGCGAGAAAATTGCCCGGGCCCCGGCAGCCGCCTTTCAACACTGTAGAGATTTCTCCGGCGCTGTCAGCGGCTCGCGTCTAATGGAAACGCCAAACAATTTACTTTCAGGGGGAAAATAAAAATGAAGCTTTCAAACTATTTAACTTTTTTATTTGCAAGGTTAAACTGCCTGTTTAGATCTTGGAGCGCATTGTCGTTCTTGGACTGCAGAGCCGGTGAGCTGCTTCTACCAGCAAATGTAGACCGGAGAAGGATTTAAGTAGAGTGAGCAATATATTGTAACATCCTAAAGCAGTGGGCTCCAAACTGCGGCCCGTGGGCCAGATGTGGCCCTTTGCTTGCTTTGATTCGGCCTTTGAGGCACTTTTCCTTCCACTGTTACGAAGCACTATTCCTTCCATTGACACCAACGATGGTACGCTATTCCTCCCACTGACACCAATGATGGGGCACCATTCCTCCCACTGACACCAATGATGGGGCACTATTCCTCCCACTGACACTAATGATGGGGCACTATTCCTTCCATTGACACCAATGATGGGGCGCTATTCCTCCCACTGACACCAATGATGGGGCACTATTCCTCCCACTGACACCAATGATGGGGCACTATTCCTCCCACTGACACCAATGATGGGGCACTATTCCTCCCACTGACACCAATGATGGGGCACCATTCCTCCCACTGACACCAACTATGGGGTGCTATTCCTCCCACTGACACCAAGGATGGGGCACTATTCCTCCCACTGACACCAACTATGGGGTGCTATTCCTCCCACTGACACCAATGATGGGGCACTATTCCTCCCACTGACACCAATGATGGAGCGCTATTCCTCCCACTGACACCAATGAAGGGGCAGTATTCCTCCCACTGACACCAATGATGGGGCACTATTCCTCCCACTGACACTAACAATGGGGCACTATTCCTCCCACTGACACCAATGATGGGGCACTATTCCTCCCACTGACACCAATGATAGGGCACTGCTCCTCCCACTGACCCCAACGACGGAGCACTGTACCTCCCAGTGAACCCAACGATGGGCACTATTCCTCCCACTGACCCCAACGACGGGCACTGTTCTTTCCACTGATAACTTAAATGAGGAATTAATTATCCCACTGACACCAATGATGGGGCACTATTACTTCCACTGACACCTACAAAGTGACACTGTTCCTCCCACTGACACCAACAATGGGGCACTCTTCCTCCCACTGACCACCAATCCTAGGATATATATATATATATATATATATATATATATACCGCTCTCCTCGGACCCGGCATTCACTATATCCGCTCTCACCCCGCATATCACAATATCCGGTCTCCCCGGACCCTGTATTCACTATATCCAGTCTCCCCGGACCCTGCATGCATATCCGTCTCCCCGGACCCTGCATTCACTATATCCAGTCTCCCCGGACCCTGCATTCACTATATCTGGTCTCCCCGGACCCTGCATTCACTTTATCCGTCTCCCCGGACCCTGCATTCACTATATAAGGTCTCCCCGGACTCCGCATTCACTATATCCGGTCTCCCCCCCGCATTCACTATATCTGGTCTCCCCGGACCCCGTATTCACTATATCTCTCCCCGGACCCCGCATTTACTATATCTGGTCTCCCCGGACTCTGCATTCACTATATCTGGTCTATACCCTGCATTCACTATATCTGCTCTCCCGGACTCTGCATTCACTATATCTGGTCTTCCTGACCCTGCATTCACTAT